TCATTAGGGTTCTTTGGCCTCAAAGAAAAGGGTTTTCTGGGATGCAGAAAAGTGTTCCATGTGAGACCACCTGAATATGCCTGGTTTCTTGTACATACAACTTAATATTTAATTCTCAAAACATCTGCATGTGATGGGGACCCCTGAGCCAGTTTTATATGTGAGAAATCTAATACTTAGAGATGTTAAGTCACCCATTCAGCATCCCATGACCAATATTAGCCATTTCACTCAATCAGCTCTTCTGATATTAACATTCTGTTTAATTAAATTCTAACTTGGAGCAGGGGAAGGCTGGCCATTTTTTCCACATCCATTGTCCCAACCTGGCTAGTCTGAAAAAGAAAGCTCTGTTCCTCATTAGGGAAGATCTGTGAAGTCCAGCTCAGCAGCAACCTTATAACACAGGCAAAGAAAAAAGAAAGAAAAAAAAAAAACAGGAGAGAAGGGGAAACCACAGAACACTCTTGGAGAGCCACAAATGGCCTCCAGGCTCATCTCCTGAGTTAGAAATTAGGTCTTGGCTTTTATAACCTGGGCTCCAGGTTTGGAGTTCATCTCTGCCACTAAAATCCCATGTGACCTTGGTAAGTCCCTTTCCAGATCTGGGTCTTGGGTTTCCCTTCTACTAGTCAACCCATCACTTGAGTTTTGTAGCAACTATATTTTTCATGTCATGGTTCTAACTGGTTCTTATTTATATCTACTTGTTTTTGTTTTATAACCTCCTCTTCTTCTTTTATGGCTATTATTCCATCCTTTATATTTTTGAGTAACTTGACCTATTTTTGCACTGGATTTTAATATTGTACAGTATTCTCTATTTCCTCTGGTATCAGTTCTTCAAGTTGGGGAGTTTGTGGGAGCTTCATAAAGTAGTTGTGAATTTTTCATCTCTTTGATAGTCTTCTGAGAGTGTGTGCTCTTGACCTCACATATTAGGTGGCACTGCACTTCCATGGGTGGGGCACCTTGCCATTGGGCACATCTGCTTTGGTTCTGCTTCCTTAGCACCTTCCTGTATTTTTTAAGTGTTTGGGGAGAAGGGAGGCAGTTTCAATGTGTATTTGATCCACCACCTTCAAAGGAAATCCAGTTTTGTCATCTATAAACTGACACTGTTGTGTTGGGTGGTCTCTGAGTGTTCTCACAGAAATTCTCAACACAGATAACCACAGGGGTATGGTCACAGAGGTCTAGTGGGAGATAGTTCTAATACCACCACCAACTATAAAAATAGCTATGTGGGCCATTTTCTATTATTATTACCGTCTCTTCACATATCTGATCTTATTTGTTCTTGACATCACCAATGGTGCTACTATTATCCTTGTCTTACGGATGACACATTGGAAGCCCAAGCACACTCAGCTGGAAAGGAGGATTTGAACCCATTTAGAGCAGGATTAAGCTCTTACCTCTCTTCACCCATTGCGTCATCCCAGCAGCTTGGGTGCTCATGTCAGCCCTGATCCATTATTATTAGTGCCGTTTCTGGACACTTTTTTCCTCTGTTTATTTAGAGGTACTCAATAAACTCAAAACTGTGTCCCCAGCCCCAGCCAGCCAGGTGGCTCAGCTGGTTGGAGCATCGTTCAGTACACAAAAAGATGAAAAGCGTTGCAAGTTCCATTCCCAGTCAGGGCACATACTAGTACCTAAGTTTCTGGTATGGAAGGTGGCCGATCAATGTCTCTCTCTCTCTCTCTCTCTCTCTCTCTCTCTCTCTCTCTCTCTCTCTCTCTCTCTCTCATCAATAAACATATACTCAGGTGAGGGTTTAAGCAACAACAAAAAAGACTGTGTCCTGTCCTAGCCGGTTTGGCTCAGTGGATAGAGCATTAGCTCACAGACTAAGGGATCCTGGGTTCAACTCCAGTTAAGGGCACTTGCCTCAGTTGCAGGCTTGATCCCCAGCCCTGGCTGGGGCATGTGCAGGAGGCAAACAATCGATGTGTCTCTCTCACATTGATGTTTCTCTCTTTCTGCCTCTCCCACTCCCTTCTACTCTCTCTAAAAAAATCAATGGGAAAAAGTGTCTTTTGGTGAGGATTAACAACAACAACAACAACAAAAGACTGTGTCCTCAGTGTAAGAAGTGGGAAAAGTGTGTTAGAAAAGGTGTGAGCTGTGCTGACACAGGCAAGTCACTTGACCTCTCAGAGCCTCGGTTAGTGGTGAGTGCAAATGGTGACATTGCTTGTGCCTGGCACAGCAGGGGCTCCCTAAGCTTTCCTTGGAGGAAAGCAGACTACTAGTAGAGTAGTGATGAGGGAACATGAGCATTGATGCGTCAAGTTCCAAGTGTTTTCGGGGCCAGAGGGAGGAGAAGGTTTTCATGGGCACAAAGAGAGAGTGAATTCCAACATGGAAAGGTTCCGTGAAGTTGGATATTAGCTCCATTCCAGGAAGGCTTTCTTGACCTTGACAGCTTACCCAGCCTCACAGGGCTGACTTCAGAGTGAATGAGCTCCCAGCCATGCAGGGGAACCAAGCAGAGCTTTGATGGCCACTGATCAGGGAGGCTGCAGAGGCTGATGGGGCTAGTTTGACTGGGCCATCTTTGGGGGATACCCTTTATCTGTTTCCTCACCCACTGGACGCTGTTTCACAAGGAGCGTTCCCTATCTCACCGCCCCCCATTAGCACGGCCTTTCTGTGACCACAGGAAGGCCCAGCCCAACCCTCACTGCATCTTCTCTAAATAAACTCGGGCAGCTGAGCTATCTACTTCGCCATCTCCCTAGAGGTGTAGGAGGTGGTGGTTAGGGGACCTCTGGCCAAGCCACAGAGAGGAGTGACTCAAGCAGAGAGACAGCCTGTCCCTCCTCTATCTGACCATCACCCCATGCACAGACTTCTTCCTTGGGCAACTGCTGGTTTTGAATTGGCTTAACAGAACCCTGTTCTGTGTCTCCCTCCCTTGCCAGCCCAGCTGGACCCTGGTCCAGTCATCTCTGGGCTTGTCTGCCACCCTATTATGTCTTCTAAAGGCAGGTTGGTGCCTCCCCCGGGCCCTGACACGTGTCTTTGACCTCCATGCTGATGCACATCAACTCCTGGGCTCTGGTCAGCATCCTTGAAGTTAGAATGGTGGTCAGTACGCTGTCTGAAGGCCCTCCAGGACAGGGCCAGGAGGGTGACAGGAGGATGCTGTGGCTACTGGGACAAGGGCGCTGAGTGAGAGCTGGTCTGGGGACTTATTTTGGCTGGGGCTTAGATGAGGTGTGAGGGTGGTGAAAGACCCAGGCTCAGCCCCCGAAGGAAGAGAGAACCCATTCAGGCTTATTGCACTCCATTCTCAGGGTCCTGCCCTTGAGTATTACTTTATCTGCTCATTTGTTCCTTCACTCACATTTCACTCATCCTTTTTTATAAAAATTAAATTTATTGGGGTAAAAATGGTTGGGGTGACATTTTTATTCAAATACTCATGCATTCATTGGTTCATGCAAAAACTATTCATGCATTCACTGGCTCATCCAAAAATATTCATGCATTCATTGGTTCATTCTAAAAAACATTCATGCATTCACACACTGGTTTGTCCAAAGAAAATATTCATGTAGTATCTTCCTCACTTGTTTATTTTCATCCTCTGTGGGAAGATGGGTGTGAGCTGAACAATGCTTTTAGGAATCTAAGAGATTCACACTTTTATAAGCCTATGCCAGAATTCTAGGGTTGCAATCTGTGTGTGTTTGGGGGGAGGGGTGATCCTCTCACATGACTAGGAGTTTTCAAGGGGGTCCAGGCATGGGTACTGTTTTCCACATGGCGACACCATTTTTCATTGCCACCAACAGTTCACAAGAGTTCTAATCTCTCCACATCCTGTCCAACACTTGCTGTCTTCTGATAGTAGCATCAGGTTTGTTGTGAGGTGATATCTCATTGTAGTTTAGAATTGCATTTCCCTAATGATTAATGGTGTTGAACATTTTTCCATTGTCTTACTGGCCATGTGTAAATCTTCTTTGATAAAATGTCTCATCAAGTCCTCTGCCCACTTTTGAATCAGGTTTTTGTTGTTGTTGTTGAGTTTTAGGAGTTTTCTATGTATTCTGGATGTTAATCCCTTATGCAATTTGCAAATATTTTCTCCTATTCTGTGGGTCGTCTTTTTACTTTGTGAATAGTATCTTTGATGTACAAAATTAAAAAATGTTTATGATGTCATATTTGTGTGTTTTTCTTTGTTACCTGTAGGCACAATATTACTTCTTTAAAAATATATCTGTCAGTGAATGAATAGAAAGTTAGATGGATGGATGAATGAGTGGATGGTAGACAGATGATTGTACAAATGGAGGGGGGATAGGTGGATATTTGAATGAGTGTATGGAGAGATAAATAAGATGGTGGGTGGGTGGGTAAGTGGACAAATGGGTGGATGGGGAGTTAGTTGGGGGGTTGGTAGAAGAATAGGCAAATGTAGAGTTGAGTGAGTGGATGAGTCAATAGATGACCTCATGAATGGATGGGCAGGCATAGAACTGGTCACAGATGGAGACCTTGGTATACAAATGGGCACAGTTCCGATAAATTGTGAATTATTTTCTGACCCCAACTTAACTTAGCTTAACGCTGGACAATTCTCTCTTTCTAGGTTCAGGCTTTCTTCTGCTCCCTGCAGAGCCTCTACGAACCTCACCCTGGAGCTCAGATTGAACTGTGCTCTTGGTTTGTCTGCTGACCTTCTCAGGGGTAAGAAGTTGGGAAGGAGCCTGCACCCTCCCAAAGGCTACAGTGCCCACTGACCCTCCCTGATGACTGTGGTCGCCTTTCCCAGCCAGTGCCTTCTCTCCAGCAGCCTCATCCACACCTCCATCAGACATCAAATCATCCCAGGAGCTCCCCTTCTCTCAAACACACCCCTCTCTGCCCCCACACTGCTCTCCAGACAAATTCCCATTGCACCTGCACCCCTCCCCCACTGGGAAAGGTGGAGGGCAACTTAGAGGTAAGGATCTTCCAGGTCAGCCTCCTGCTCCAGGCCAAGACCTCTTCCCTGTTCCTCAGATCCCCCAGGCAGCCATGGATCTGAGTCTCTTGGGCCTGCCAGATGCACTCCAAGGTCGCAGCAAGATCCTGCAGGGAGCGCGGGGCAGGGGCCCGGTCTTGCGTCGGCAGCGGGAGTTCCTGCCAGAAGAGAAGAAGGACACGGTTTACTGGGAGAAGCGGCGGAAGAACAACGAAGCGGCCAAGAGATCCCGGGAGAAGCGGCGTCTCAATGACCAGGCCCTGGAGGGCAGGCTGGCCGCAGTGCTCCAGGAGAACGCTCTGCTCAGGGCTGAGCTGAAGGCTCTCAAGCGTCACCTTGGCCTCCTGTCTCCAGCTGGTAGCGCCCGGAGCCTGCCCTTGCAGGCCCTGCTGTGGGCGTCCCCTTGGACGGAACACCCCCTCACTGGGGCTGGACCACTCCCATCTCTGCCTGGCTCCCATGGCTGCGTCTTGAGGCCGTGCTGCCTGGATGCTGGGGTTCCAGGATGCCAGGCCTGCCAAGTGGCTCACAAGTGGACTGGCCTGGCCACTTCCTCCAGGTTCCCCCAGGACCCTGCCCCCGCTGACCCCAAGAGAATGGATGTGGCCTTGCAAGCTGCTGTCCCAGCCACCTTCTTCAGCTGTCACATCCTGGGTGGGCATGGGGGACCCCCACCTGAGCTCTGGCCCTGCTGGGGGCTATGGTCTCCTGTGCAAACTGGTTGCCAGGCTTCGGGGTCCTCAGAGGTGTTACTGACATCCACTGCTGGTCCCATGGGGTTGCCATCCGGAATGGCTGGCTCCACCCCAGGGAGCCATCCCGAGGGTCCTGCTCAGCCCTCCCTGCCCCATAAACTTCGCATCAAGTCCCAAGCCGCTGGCAGAGCACCTGGAGGCTGCAAGGGCGTCCAGGGACCCCTCTGAGGGCTTTCCCTGGGCAGGGCCAGGACTGCAAGGCCGGGGAGAGTGGGGGAGTGTTGGGCTTGAGCATGGGTTATCTGGGGGGATGAATGGCTTGGCCTTGACCCAGCCCCTAGTACTGGGCAAGGCCTGTGAGAAGCAGGGGTGAGGGGATGATTGGGGAGTCTACTTCTCAGTGACCAGGCCTCTAGAAGGAGGGTATGGGGTACTATCTTGGATCATACCATGGCTCCCATCCTGTGTAAAATATGTGCTTTAGGTAATTACTTTTCCTTCCTCCCATCCTTCCTTCCTTCCTTCCTTCCTTCCTTCCTTCCTTCCTTCCTTCCTTCCTCCTTCCCTTCCATCTATCCATTCTTCCATTTGTCTATTTTTCCATTCCTTTATTCATTTAATCGCTCATTTTTGTACTCGTTTGTTTATCATTTGTTCATTGATTCAGTCTCTCATTTATTTACAATTCACTTGTCCCCACATCCACCCACTTATGATCTTTGTGCTCCTCCCTCTGTGCTCAGCATAGTGACAAGTAGGAAGACACCCTCCTGGCTTTGGGGTTCCCGTTCTGAGCGTGGTGATGGTGGTTTGGGGACAAATACACTGAGGACCATGCCAAAGGAGGAAGGAATGTCTCAAGATGTCCCAATTCTCCTATCTTTGTGTTCTCTTGGCGGTTCGCTTGCCACCTACTTTGGGGATCAATTCTCCTACTCCAGTGCCTGCCTCTGTGTCTTGGGTCAGGACTGCGAGTTGCGGGAAGAGGTGGGCAGTGTCTGAGGCGGCCGTTTCCTCTCTCCCCGGCTGCTTACTGCCCAGCACACACACTCCCACTGGGAGGGAGAAGGGACCACTCTTCAGGAAAAGTTCCCCAGGGACCCCGAAGACCCAGAGCTCATCAAAGTCTTATCCCAACTCAGTTTCTCACTCAGGCCCCTCTCTTTAAAACAACGACAACAACCCATATAGTTTTAAAGCTCTTACTAGATTCTGGATAAAAAGAAGACCCAACTCCAATTACGGGCAGAGTTGTGGGAGGTCCTCTAGGCTGATGCCGTGGCTGAGCCCTGAACACCCCGGGTCAGCTGGCTCGCTGGCCTCAGGGGCCCCCTTACCAAGCGCAGGCTGGGATCGTTCTCTGCCTCTGAGGGTTTATCACAATCACAAACGTGTGCAGCCCAGGAGCCTGCTCCTGCTGGGCAGTGCAGGGAGCCCCGCACATCACTGCCCCGCCCTCCTCCACCAGCTCACCATTTGTCTGGTTCTTCACTGGTGCTCAGCCCTCCAGCTGGAGCAGAAAACAAGCTCCACTCGAAGATGCTGATGAGGCCTCATTTCTCTGTTTTGCCTACAAGGATTCACAGAGACAAGGACTTCTAGTGGTCACAGCTGCAGCAGTCAGACATAGGGAGCGGGGGGGGGGGGGCTGGGGGAAAGGATCAGCCAGCATCTGCGCTTCCGAACGCCCATGCTGCCAGCTCAGGCTCTGCCCCTGGACACAGGTGGGTGGGGAGTCCCCAGTGCCCTGCCTTCTCCCCACCTTTAAGCTTGGCTTAGAGCCTCACATCCCCCAAGACTGTCATGGGGAGGTAGGAAGGAGAGCTGCCTGAAGGAGGCGCCGCTGGCCTGTCTCTCCCCAGCCAACCCTCACAGCTGGAGGGGTAGCCCGGGGGTGCCGAGGAGTCAACTCTCCACACAAAGATGCTACACAGCTGCCCTGGCTGGTCCTTCTGAAGCCTGTAATGCAGCTCTGCTTCTGGCGGAGGGGATAGTTAAAAAAGCCCTAAGGGGAGAGGAAAGGAGGTGCTGCTGGGAGATGTGGGTGGCTTGGTGCTTTTGGTGATGCCACCCAGCCACTGTCCCCGAGGTGTCTGAGGTGTCTGGGCCCAGCACACTCACACCCCATGGACTCAGGGGAGTGAGCGCTGACCGCCTTTGGGTCACTCACACCCGCTTTGACCTTCCAGCACCAGTTGCAAAAGGCCAGAGAATTGTCTGCCTGAAGCAAATCATAGCATTTCCACATCAGGAAGGTCCGCCAGCGTCTACTGATGAGTGGCCGCCCAGTCTCGGGATGGAGAACTCATTGCCTGCAAACCCCCAACACCTCTCCTTTTCCAGAGTGAAAACCTGCTTCTTGCCAACTTCTACCTCTAAGCCCGCTCTCACCTCAGGGGGTCACTCAGAACCCCTCCCTCCCCCTTCCCCCTGCTTGGAAGCGGCTGGGGGGTGGAAGGAGGCTCTGGCTTTTCCTCTGGAAAGTAGAGATCACCACACTTCCTCAGATGGTCTGAGAATATGAAATCTCATTTATTGTGTGTATAACACTTCAGACCCAGCAAATGTCGAACAAGCGTCAACTCCCCTCTCTTCCCTCCCTTCTTAGAAAGCTCTCAGGTGCCCAGCCCCAGAGCAGTGCAATCATCAGGGGAAATGTACCCTCATTCTTCAAAATTCCCTTCACCTGGCCTGCTCTTATTATTATTGTCAATGGTATTTAAATAAGACGGCTCTTGGAATCAAATATTAATCATTTCTTATTAATCAAATACATATAGTTTATCAAGAAATATTTTTTGAGCTTCCAGAATGTGTCAAACAAGGAAGGGATAAGGGAGGACGTGCTCCAGACTGAGGAGTTTGCCAAAGGAAACTTGTCCGAATGTCTAGAACATTGACTCTAGACATGTCGATTACTCTCCTGTGTTGGATTCTGTGTCCCCTGCCAAAAGCTAATGGACTGCTGGCCACCTTCCATGTGGCTGCCTGGGAGCTGCCGAAAGGACTCTAGTGCCATGTCCCACCCTGCAATATCCACCAGCCCCTCAGGTTATGTCTGTCACAATCATGATTGACTTTGGGGACTACATTTTAAAACATTGTGCAACCATGTGTTCCATTTCCTCTCCCACCCATCCTTGAAGGTTGGTGAGATCTCTTTGGCTGTAAATACACGATCTTTCTTCCTGCTTTGGGTCTGTCTAGCCATTGTAAAGGGTGCAATAAACACTGAATGAAAGTCTGCACCATTGCTGGTGATGCCAGGGGCAGACAGAAAATGAGTTGAAGGTGCCAATGAGGCCACATTGTCTGTCTTATCTATAAGGATTCACAGAGACATCCTGGCTGATTGCTGTGTTCCCTGGATTCTTGCTCCTCAAATCATGGTCCAGAGACCAGCAGCCACAGCCTCACCTGGGAGCTTGTTAGGAATGAAGAATCTGAAGCCCCCACTTAGGACGGGTGACTCAGAACCTGCATTTTACCAAGCTCCCCGGGAGATCCATATACACAGTAGAGTTTGAGAAGCATCAGTTCAGAACAGGGCTGGAAAACTTTTTCTGTATGGGGGTCAGAAAGTGAATATGTGTTTGCTCTGTGGGACAGACAGCCACTGTTCACTCACTTATTGTAGCTTGAAAGCCACAGACAATGTGGAAACAAGTGGGTGGAGCTGTGTTTCAATAAAATTTATTTCCCAAAACTGGTGTGGCTGGAATTGGCCTGTGGGCCAAAGTTGGCTGATGGTGTATATACTTGAGTAGAATCACAGATCCTAAGGGATAGCTGTCCTCAACCTGGATACTGTGAAAGTATTCCACACAGTGGTATTTCCAATTTACAGTTCCTAGAATGTAAAAGAAGTTTATGTTCTGCCAACAGTTGGTTTTAGTGGACTGTTTGACTTTTGACAATCCGGTATGTAAAATGATTTTAACCTGTTAAACATCTTTGCCAAAATCGGTTGGCCACTTGGGTTTCCTCATCTATAATTGCCTGTTCAGCTGGGATATTTACCTTTTTCTTATTGATTTATCAGAGCTCTTTTTATATTCTAGATATACATCCTTTCTCACTTATGAACATTATTTTTACTTGTCTTTTCAGTTTATTCCTTCCTGAAATCAGATATAGCCAAATTTATCAATCTTTTATGATTTGTATAGTTTTTGTCTTGTTTAAGAATCCTTCCATGTCTCAAAGTCATAAAGATAGCCTCCTAAATGTTTCTATAAATGTTTTAAATTTTGCTTTTCACATTTAGGCATTTCACATTTCACATTTCCGTCTCTTTTATTCTATTGTATGAAGTGCCATTATTCAAATTTCCTTGATCAAAAGAATCACCTAGAGATACTTGTTTAATTACAGAACCCCTGAATTCAGACCTCCTAGGAGACAGGCCTTGAAATATTTTTATAATCCTGGTTGGTAAAAGTTGACTTAGTGTTTAGCACATGGTTTAGGTGTTGGTCAGGACCAGCATTCCACCTGGCTTCACGGTCTTGCACACATCACTGAGTCTCCCTTGAGAGACTTCTTAGGAAGAGTAAATGAGAAGAAGTACATACATGGCTTGGTACAGGGCCTTTCCCTGTGAACTGGGTTGCTTTATTCTCATGGTGAATATAATCCTTTTTGCTTTGGCTACCAGGGGGCTCAGAGCTAAATTTCTGGCTCAACCATAATAGCAATTCATTCATTTATTCTCAAAATTCCTTTATTCACTTAGCAAATATTTATTGATCACATATTGTGTCCCAGACACTGAGGAAAGAACAGTGAACAAAATCGATGTGGTTCCTGCCTCTGTGGTGCTTACAGCCCAGTGGGGGAGACAGATAGAAAAAAGCATAGTAGAGTCAGTGGTGGGAAGTGTCATGGAGAATAAAGAAGTAGGGGGCAAGAGAGAGGTCACGGTGGGTGGGTTATAAGAATTAAAATAAAGAGGCCAGGAAGGGCCTTGTTAAGAAGGTGACATTTGAGCAGAGACTCGAGGGAGTGAAGACTGTGTTGGGGGAAGAGGACTCAGTAGGCAGAGAGAACAGTTTGTGTAAAGTGCCTGACGGGTTGGAGAAACATGGAGGAGGCCCTTCTGGCTGGGGAGAGAGGGAGGAGGTAAAGACAGGGAGGTGATGGGGGGCAGGTCATGCAGGGCCTGTGAGCATATTTCTCCTGTAACTGTCCCGCCAGCCCCCCTCCATCCTGCGAAGTGTGAGGCTGAGTGAAAAGTAAGAAAGCCCACCCCACAAGCACAGGAGAGTTGGCTCATCATCTGAGGGAGGGGGTGACTGGCC